GGAACGAGCTCGGCCGAGCCAAACTCGGCGGAACCTCGGAAGAGCTCTGACTTGGTTAGTCGGAACCGAGTGGAAGCGAGCCACTCGTCTGTCCCGGAAGGGTCGACCCACGAAGGGACCACCCTCTGCGCAGGCCATACAACCGCCGACCTAACTCGACGATACGTTGTGGTTTGTGTAAGGAATCCACATCTGACGGTATTTGTGTGTTCTACTACACCACAACTGGTGCCGCGACCCGGGAACAGGAGTGTGTGCTTGTTTTTGTAGGTACCAGCTAACCAAGTTAAGAGCAAGAGAAGAGAAAGAGAAGAGTGAAGATGGTCAAGGGATCAGCAACTCCGAGCGACGGAAGCCCAACGACGGATGGAGGATCGCCTCTCGCGGGGTCGGACCCGGCGGATCAACGACTCATCGCCATGACGATGGAGGTGGGACGAACCGTCTAGTTCGACGAGGATGGCCAAGACCAGGAGAGCGAGAACGGAGATGCAAGTGAAGGAGAGTATGAAGAGAAGGTCGATACCGCTGAGCTCGGAGAAACGAAGACTACCGCCGAGCTACTTGGAGAGGTGAAAGAGTTGACGCTGCAGGTGGGACGCATGGGAGCCCCACGTCCTGTCGAGCGCAACTTATCCGCCGAGCTCGACGAAGGTGCGGACGATGAATAAGATGAAAAAGATCATGGCGTTGCTCAAGGGGACCGTCCGCCCCTTATTCCGAAAGCGACGAGGAACGCTGATACGCCGAGCACCAGTAGAGTGTTGGCTCGACTTGGCGAAGAGATGAGAACGAGATCGGAGTGGATGATGATATTCGCGCCTGTGGCGATGGCGCAAGCGAAGTGGCCGATGTTGGGTCCCGAACTAACTCAACCGGTGCGTGCAGCCAACATCAATCAGTTGGCGGAAGAAACTGTGTTGCTGCTGAAGGCGATGGGCTATCGGTGCAACAGCCGACCAAACAGCCTCATCCTGTCAGACTGGAGTCTGACCCGCGGTGGAGCTGAGCTCTGGCAATGAAAGAAGAAGTTGAGAGTGGAGTTTGGATTGGAGAAGACCCCTGGTGGAACGAAGCAGGTGTACAGCCGAGTAACCGGGTTTAAAGTACTCGGCGAAGACCCAAGCAACATTCCTTTGCCGAAGACCCCAGAGACGATGAGACGTGAAGTGTTTCGCGCTGCGCAAGGCACTCCATACTTCGAGGGCTCCCACATGCTGACCTTGATGAAGCTCAGCCCGACTCAGCGAGCGCCGAGTCGTGGACAGCGGAATACAGGTCGTTACCGCGAATTGCATGACGCTGCAGACGGAGCTGAGGCTTACGAGGAGGAGAAGGAGGACGATGACGCCTTCGATGTGAGATGAAACCGTGAAGAAACCGTGAAGTACTACATCCGAAACTTGAGCTTCGACGCGGCTGAAGAAGACTCGACTCAGTACCTAGAAGTCCGAGCCCACGCCTCACTCGACAAAATCGCCGAGTTCGAAGGGAAGCGCTACCGTTCTGACGCATCGCTCCAGTGGCTCAAGCGTTTCATCTACGAGATGATGAGCACCAGGATGCCCCAAAGTGCCTGGTGCGAACCCTTCTCGCTATGCTTGGGACGCGCGGCGAAGAGTTGGTATAGGCAGCCGTCGAAGAAGACTCAGCGACGTTGGAAACTACTCAGCGAGGCGCTCCTGGATTATTATTGCTCACAGTTCGACCAATCCGCCCGCACTCGTTACTACTCGGCGAGACGTAAAGTCAACGAGCCGATCTGCGACTTCCTGATCCGACTTAATGGGTATGCTCGGACAGCCAAGATCCAGTACGAGAAAGATGGCGCCGACGCAGCTGACCATGTAGAGCACTTCTTGCTGCATTGTGGTGATGACGATGTGATGGATTTGATGTACCCCTTGCAGTTGGAAGACATCAGTAAGGTGGAGCAGATAATCAATCGTCGGATTCTCGGTGAAAAGCGCAAGAAGCAACGCGACCGACTCGTGATCGCACGAGGCCGAGACGATAAGTGGAAGGATCAAAGCCGTCGCGATGAACGCCGAGATGGACGTCGAGATGAGAAGCGCAGTCGCAAGAAAGAAAACCGCGACCGCTGAGTCACTTTCGTTGACGCTGACTCTGACGGGAAGAGCTGCTCGATCAGAACCCGCCGAGTCCATACAACGCCGAAGACGAATGGGATGATGAGGACCAGTCCGGAGGTTACGACTCAGCGGAAGACGATGACTACATAGACGCCGGCGTTGCCAATGATAAGGGAAATACACCGGACCGCCGAGACAACTCGGCGGGAGACCAGAATGGCTCGAATCGAAGTTGGGGGAACTCGGCGAATCGACCTCCGCGACCGTACAACCAACGAGAACAGTCGAATCGTGGAGATGCATAACGCGACAACTCACAGCGTGGACCTTGTGCAGCTTGTGGAAGAACGGGGCACTCGGCTCACTACTGTCGGCGGCGCTGCAAATTCTGCAGACAAGTCCATGAAGTCGGCCAGTGCGAATTGTTTCGTCAAAACGAGAAGCTGACTGCGGTCGTGAAAAAATTTGTCGACAAGTCGCAAGTGCCAGAAGACCCGCAAAGCCTTTACACGCCGAGTGATTTAAACTCGGCGGCCCGCCAACACTGACTGGGTTGGAATATGCCGGGCTGCCACAGTCAGCTGAACCTGCAGTTGAGGCGAACTTCTTGTTTGCCTTCGTAGGCGAAGCAGGACGGCCCGAGGGAAGAAGCGGGGATAACAATTGGATGTGTGAAATCGCCAACACTTGCTCACGATAGTCGCATGCGCTTGGATTGAGGGAGAAGTCGTCCCCAAGAAACAATTTCAGGTATCTGACGAGCTGCCTCTCGCTTGATCGTTGTTGTTTGGATGTAGCGGCAAGAAAACGGGGTTCCTGAGCGTACCAAGCGTACCATGTCGCGTGCAGGTAGGTCACAGAAGTCCGTCGACGCTTGGTTGGCTTGACTGGGTCGGGTTCAGGATCATGCTGACGTTTGATGCTTGTATGTTGCTGCACAGCACCTCCTACCTTCGCTTCTAGAAGATCCATGCGTTCATCCTGCCTCTTAACGAGCAGAACTAACTGATCAATGGCACGGCGTTGGTGCTCAATGATATCACATTCTTGCCTTGGTTGCTGGTTCGATGTGGGATCAATGTCTTCCTTGTCTTCTGGCAGACGTGTCTTCGTACCAATATTCTGAGCAGCCAGGTATGACGCCCAAACCAATAAGTCTGCGCGTGATGATCCTGCCAGAACTACGCACTCTTCGATGCGTTTTACAGCTGGTCCATCAGGATGAAGATGCTTTAGCCGGGAATAATGCAGCAACAGGTAAGCTGTTGGAACGTCCAGAACACGGTGGCTCACGTTGTATTGGGCTCGTTCTAGCTTCAGGCACGTCGCAAAGAGATTCTGCTGGACGGCTGCGATTTTTTCCTCTGTGTGCGCATCAAAAGCCTTCAAGTCCTTCAATGTACCTGCGCTTCTGTGCTGTATCCGCTGAGGGACTTGCTTACCTTGTGATCCTCGCGGCTTGTGTTGAAGATGTAGTTAAACCCCTTGTTTGTTGTACTCATGTTCCAGGCACCACGGTCGAAAATCCAGCGATGCGTGAGGCCGTCACAGCCGTTGACGTGCTGCGCTCCGCCTCGGCGAAAGGAATGAGAAGAGAGGGCGACCTCGATACCAGCGGCGACAGCGATTCGGTCAAGAACTCTGTTGACGTGGGAGTAAATGGTGGGCGTCTTCCCAGTCACGACTGCTCCGTCCGCCGCCGCAGCCACAGCGCCAAGTGCAGCGTAGTCGTCAGGATGGCCGAGTACCTCCAGGAGCGGCGTCGCGGGGGACAAGGAGACAGAGGCTTCGACAGGAAGCGGCGGCAGATTATCGAGCAAGTCGACGCACGGAGCGTATTGCACCAAAAGTTCCAGAGCCGTAGCATACACCGGGCACGTGATGAAGTCTTCGTCGGGAAACAGCGACAAGCCTTGCTCCTCAGAAGTCTTGAGCCGAATGAAGCGCACGAACAGGATGTCTGCAGCGTCAATGGTGAGGTTCTGCTTCTGGACGAGGGAGAAATCGGAAGCGCGTTCAAACAGGTACCACAGCATACATAGTAGCGCTGCATCTTGATAGTCGCTTGAGGTAGTCGCATTCTGATACAAGCATAGCATCATTTTACGCAAATCTGCCTTCGTGCATGGTGGCGCCTTGCTCACTACCTTTCCGTCTCTTTTCATACAAAAATTCTCCAGCGTCTTCCCCATACTTTGCAACTTTGCCTCGACAATGTGCCGCTGCGTGGGGAAGAGCTCGAAAAGCCACATCTTAGTCTGTCTATAGTACTGCATGGCAGTGTTGCGGGCAAGCTGTTTACCCTTCTTGCCTTTGTTAAAGGCAAGATACATGCCAAACATATCCAATATAGACACAAATGACTTTCCACTATCATATTTCGCAATGCAACTCCTGACATACTCAAAGTCTACAGACTCACTCTTTACAAAAGCCTTGAACGCTGCGATGGCGGTTGGCTTAGCTCGTTTTGTGTTTCCAGGATTAAGCTCGTCCAGTCCCATCCTGTCGGATGCAAGTGATACGTCCGCCACTTAGTTTTTAATAGGCATACACATATTTCTCGTATCCTTCCGACCCGATACGTCGGATTGACTGGTTTAAATGACCCCCTACCCCTACGCAATTCTATTAGTGGAAATACACGTAACACTGTATTTCCATTGGCCAAAATATTTTTTAATTCTGTAATAGGCTGTTTAGGAGCATACAAATCTTAAGTAAGGTCGGATAAGTGATCAGTCAATTTTTATTATTTGACGGTGCAATTTTCACACAAATGGCAAAACATGCTTAAAAAAAGCAAAGATGTGCTGACGCTCGCATGGAGATTTTTTAAGCCAGTGTCAATTGACCCATCCGCATGTTTTTTACTATAGCAGATCATATGATGAACACCGTGTACCGGTAGTCGTCGCGATCTTACATTTAAAAATTCTCCATCAATATCGATCAGGCAGAGGTGCGAGTGCAACACGTTACATATAATACTATTGTGTACACCCCCATGCAACTACTTTGAGCTTTCGATCCCTAGTGTCTTTTTAAAAATGAAACTTACTTGTTCTAAAGGTTAAGGTCAAGATTTCATTTTTCAAGCTCAATTTTAGCGGTATTGAGCGGTAATCTCCAGTGCAGGATGAAGCAGCGGCGCTGGACAGCGGCACGCGCCGCCATGGTCGACTGGATGAAGGCATGCAGCAGCAGCTATTGGAGGATGCTTGCTCACAGGACAAGGAATCTAATGCTGGAGCTGCTGCCCTGTCGGTAGGAGTAAGCTTGAACTCTAACGCTAATCTCAATTCACATTTTATCTTATCGAGCTCACTTGCCATTATCCCATGCTATTCGACATTAACTCGTACCTGTATAAGGTGGGAGCCAAGGAAAGGAAATGCAGAGTGAACGAAAAGAATGTTCCGCGGGCTCGAGAGCGTGTTATCACGCACAAGATATCGAAGAACTGGTAAAGGCTGACCGAAGAGCACGCATTGCTAAAGGAACTGAAACATCTTAATGCGGCGAAGAAGGCGCTGACGATTTGTGTTGGTACCAAGCGTGCGGATCTTAATTGCGACGCTCCTCGACTGACGAAGCGCTTAACAATCTACTGCGAACTTCGTGGACTACATATCTGAAGCTGAAACAGAGCATTCTGCACGGCATTTCTTTTTAAGTGGTCGATTCGAGTAACGAGCCGTATGTCTAGGAAGGTTTTACAAAGCACACTGGTCTTGAGTACAGGTTTCAGTACGGTCGTAACGACTTACCGCTGCTAGATAGAACTGTCATCCAAGTCCTTAGTGTACCGACGTCAGCAGAGCGGGTGTCGATTGCGTACTCCTTTCCGTAGTCAAAGCGATGGAATCGAATGACCGCGGCCACCATTGAAAAACTTGCGTTCAACTACGTGAACAACGATCTACTCAACACACAAGACACCTACGACAACTTTGTAGATGAGCTAGATGATATCGTCAACATGGGGAAAAATGATGAAGGCAGCTATCTAAGGTTACTGTAACCCTACAGAAAATATATCTGTACTAAATCTGATCAACACGTTACCAGCGCACACTATTATACCTCCTTACAAAGTCTAGTGAACGAACACATTGGAGCTTGTATCCTGACACGACAGCTCAATCCCCGTGTCGCAATGCCCGCACCAAAAATACCAATGAATCCTCTATCTCTCGGAGCGGTGTAGCAGAATCTCACTACAATTAATAGATCTCCTTCCACTAATGATCGTGGCCGGGTCGGGGCAGCCCCATAATCTCGTGCAGCTCCTCCACCAGAAGTCCGTAAATGGTGTGGTGCCTCGCAGCTACCGGGTCGGTGGGTTGCTGCTGCTGCGCCCGGCGGGACGCTCGACGCTTGCGAATGTTGTCGAGCTGTGAGGTTGCGGCCGCCAACGATCGATGTAGTCCTTCAACCTGCTGCCTAAGTGCCAGAAGCTCGACTTGGTTCTCGCTGCGCTCCCCTGCGCCAAAGCCCTCGCGCTTGAGATCCTGAGAATCGCGTGCCGCCAAGTTTTCTTCATCCCCCAGCATCGCCAAGTTGGACAAGGTGGACATGAATGACATGTTGGATATACTTGCCCTGAGTTGAGATTTATCGCCAGCATCTTGGCGCACGCGGCTGCTGGTCCGCGTACGCCATTGACGACTTAGCGTGTCTGGACAAAGTAGTGTGAATTGCTCACTGTTGATGAAATCGACGTCCATAATGCCCTCGGTGGCTTCGGGATCGCTGATCCTTGTCCGTCGACTTCTTGCATCGTGTTCTGCGCCACCCGACTCTTGCATATTGAGGACAGATTGGGGCGTATCCGTATCAACGATGAAGTTGTGGGCACTCCTGAAGTTGTGGGCATCACTAAATTGCCGGTACGACGTTGTTAGCATTGACAAATCGGCCTTCATTCCTCGAATGCGCTCGAGCAGATCATCAGTCGGCTCGAAGCTACTGCTCGGCGACTGTGGAGAGCTAATAGTAAGCTGACTACTGCCTCTCCCTTGACTGCTCGATCTGCGCTGGCAGCGTTCTACGTCGTCCTGGCTGGTCAGGGCGAGTAAGCTATCGGAGGAATTGAACTCGCTCAGAGAATAACTGCTCGAGTTGCTGGACAAGTGGTCATCCTCAAAGTCATACATTCTGATAGTGCCATCCGCATAGCCCGCGCGTGTTAGTCGCGCAGACATTTGCGAGTCGCTTGAGATTGAAAACGTGCTACTTCCAGACGACAGCGATTTCGGTCGAGTGTGGATCTCGGCGTTGTTGTTGTTGTTGGCAGTCAAAGCGTTAACTCCGATCGAGTTTTTAGAAGCCGAAGACGAAAGTGATGTTTTAGTGTTCCGCATGTGATACACGAAAATCTCAAAACCACCAGGGACCTGCGCACCCGTACGTGACTGCACGACACAGGCTGTGCAAATACGGACGTGGGTAGTTGTACTGGAGTCCGTGTCTACCCCACGCGCAGGAGCACACGACGCACACACGACCTCTCCGCAGTGCCGGCAGTGATGTTTGCGTCGTCGAAGCGCAAATGGTTTCACGCACACAGCACATGCCTTGCGTGCATCGTCAGCCACCCATTCAGCTCGAGGTACGTGCACTAGCTTGTTAAGGCGGCGACGCTCTACCAGCAACTCGAGTCTCCCGATTGCAGCTACTCGGCGACGCATCAATCGAGCTAAAGCTGCGGAAGTTGCCTTTCCGGAATTGGATGCACCTCCACTGTTATCGTTTGCAGCTCCGAGAGCAATACCTTCTGCCATTGACATCTGAAAAATTGAAGTGACTTGAACCACATCGGAGCGATCTGTGGGTAGGATGAGGATGCCCGTGCGGTGGAGATGACCTCGTGCCAGTCCGACTCCCGCAAGGGAAGGCACTTCACCTTCACGAATGATCGACTCCTGGACACTAAATCCGAAGAGTTCACTGGCATCATTACCAGGGTCACTCCGGTGGATTCCCGTGTGCTCGAGAAAGCAATAGTCTGTGCCAGCAGGTGCCCCCGTTAAATGCAACGCCTTACCATCGTCGAAAGCCGCCCACTTGATGGTTGTGAATGCTTGATGCTGGGAGTTCGATTTCGAGCTGTTAGGCGGTGCGGCTGGTATCTTGTGCAAACATACTCCATCGATGAAACGAGATCCGTGCAGGAAATGCATCGCACGACGATAATCCTCTGTAACAGGTGACGCCAGCGCCTCGAGGGCCTCGCTGATGGTTCCCGCTGCGAACGCCGTCGCACTCATAATCAAACAGGCGGATGCGGTGTTATGCGGTTCTTCGTCCGCTTTGCTTGTCACCATATTTGAAAATGGAGAACTGGTGACACTATTGCTGCCTTCGATGCAATGCGCTTGCGCGTACGTTACCCCGTCCTTCTCCATGGTTTTTTTCCAGTCGAGTGTCTTCATGGAGCTGCGGAGTACCCGTGCACTGCATTCTCCTGTGGTCACATACCTACGTCGCTCTTCCATCGTGAGTCGCACTTGAGGGAAGAAGTCTGTCTTAAGAGGGAACTCCATTGTTGCCTACAATCAAAGACCGCAACTTACACAATGGCGTACAGTGACGACCGCGAGACGTCGACCACCGGCGCCTCTTTCTTGGAGCACAAGCGCTGCGGACCGCAGTGCGGTGGTTTCATTCTTTCGACATTTTTAGCGGGTCTGTTCAGTTCACCTGGACTGCACACGCTTGAGGTCCGTCTCGAGGCACTAGCCACGAGCGCACGAACACCCGGACCCCATTGGATGTATGGTAGGTTTCAGCGTAGAGCTCCTGCTTGTTCGATCTTCTTTCGTGTGGGAAGATCAAACATAACATGCGGGAGGTACGAGCGCGCAGAATTGTCTCACACTTCGCCCCGTACAGTATTAAAAGTGCGGATTCACGGGCTCTTCACAAGTGTGATCACTGCAGACCGTTTTGTATTCTGTCACTACGATGACAATATTGCTACTCGGGTAACGTCGGCCTACTGATACAAATTAGATATCTCAAGCCTGGAGACTCCAGCTAATAGATGCCGTGACGTTTCCCCCCGGCATCATTGAGATCCGAGCGCTGGACTTTCGATGAGGTCGACAGCATCCCCAGCCAAAACCAAGCTATAACAGTGATCGCCACGGTCCGTGGCGTGGCCCACGGAAGCACAAGTCGAACGTGTTGGTCAATCCTTTTTGCAGTATTTTAGAAACTTCAAGCTAGAATCTCATTTCTACCTACGGATAGTATCGGTACTAGCAGAGTACCGTCGCTACGCGGCGGTAGTTTAGGTTTAGTTCTACGTGTATTGTTTATGCCTTTCTACGCTCAGCCTTATTGAAAAAAAAATTAGTTTATTAAATAGCCCACTTGAAAAGGGAGCCGGATTTTTAGGCTCCATGGTCAACACTAAAATCTTACCCAATTTATGATGTACGCTCGCACATTGACTTTTTAGCTGCTACTGTGTCTTAATATTTTTTTTTCTTTTTCCAAATAATAATGGACCCGCCCGCCCGCCACCAATGTCTATTAGACACAATTGGGCGAGCGAACGCAAGTGTACACGCTTTTCCCGATGCGTATTATTAGCTGTCAGCTTCTGGACAGGTCATCTTAGAGTTTGGAGTCTAATTTTTTATTTATCGCTTTTTCAAAATTGTAAATGTGGCCGCTCGAAACGTTGTTATGGTATAATATCCGCAAGATTCCAACCATGCATCGTCCATGAAGAACTGTACTCAGCCAATCCACCAATTAGATTGCAAGATTAATGTGATTTTATCCAATGATGAAGTCTTAAAAAGTAACCACCAATTCCTACCAATCCGACCATATTTAGTTGGAATTTTTTCAGAATATGCTGTACTCTTTACAAATATCCATATAGTAGCATATTCTAAAAATATCAGGAAGTTTCCAACCCGAGGTGGCGGTTGGCAGCTGTTTCCTAAAAGACATCATTTTGCAGAGCTGTGACCATGTCTATCGCGTCGCTAGCGCCACCTAACAGTAAGAAGGCCCGGGTGACGGCGATCAACTCGTTCAGCACGTTTCTTTCTTCAGAAAACATCACACTAGAGCATGTTCAACAGCTTATCGACGCTGACAAGACCGGTAGGGTACTTCGAATTGTGCTAGATAAATATGCGTATTCTCTAGCTAGATCGACAGACAAAACTCGATCTACCAATACATGTCTAGCCTATTTCGGAAACGTAAAGAACTGGTTGATAGATAAATACCCACAGCAAGGGGGGACAGTAAAGCCCCAGCTGCAGAAGATCCTGTCTGGGCTTGGTAAGTACTGTACCAATCGCGAGGATGGGGCTTTTGAAAAGAAAGCTCCACCGTGTTCCAAGCAAGATCTAGAAAATATCGCTCGCCTACTTTATACTTCTGATTCTGCTGAGAGTATCTATCCGGATGCAGCTCTGGTTGTGATGCTGTGGTATTTATACGGACGTAGCTCGGACGCAGAGCAACTTAAAAAAAACCAGCTCTCGATTTTACCTGGTACGATCATTGACTATTTTATTTCTTTATATATTGACAATTACGCTAACTGGAACCTTGCAATATGTAGGTGGCGTACTCTTCCTACGCTTTAAGCGGATTAAAACAGCTTTGCTACAAGGTGTATCCTTGTTCAATGACCCGACAAGTTTTTTAACTTGTCCACTATTCGTTTTAGCTGCTGCTCTAACCATACAGAATGCGCCAAGCAAGCGTCTATTTCCTCAGTTTACCAGTACAAGGCATATCGGGAGCTAATGCTGGCGATGTAGAAGACCTCAGTCTCGTAGAGCTTCTCGAGGCAGACGACAGCCCCGCATCCTTGCCAGACCTGCAACAGTCGCCAGCTACCAGATCGGTTCCTGGTGCACAAGCGTACGTGAACCGATTACTGGTTCGAGTCAAGAACATTGCAGATCAGAAGCAGGTCAAACTCACACAAGGACTTACCTCCCACTCTTTTCGTCGAGGAGCTGCCATGCACGCCAACGATGGAACTCTTGCAGAAAACTGGATTATAGAGCGGGGCGGTTGGCAGCTTGACCGCGTCAATAAGGCGTTTGGGTACATGTTGGGTACAACGCAGGCAGATCAGCAAGTTGCGCGTGTCCTGAGCGGATGGAAACCAAAAGAAGGCGCACGTCTTCCTTCGTTGCGTATCTTGGAGCCGTCTGTGCTGTTCCGCGCCCAAGCACTGCATGGTCTACTTTTCACGAGCTCCCTGGGCTTTGCAGAGCCTGGCATGAACCTAAACGAAGACGTAGCAGAGGTCTTGTCAGCCACCCTCATCATGCACTACCCCGACATGCTGCTGCTCTCACGCGAAGGAGCACTGGTTGCCCGCATTCGGGCGGCCATGTCAGCACGAGCCATCGGGGAAGCGGAAGTACTTGCATGGAGCAGCACAATCCGCCGTGCTTTCATGCCACCATCAGCGATAACCAAGCCCAGCGTTAGCGACTCTCACTCTGCTGAGGTGTTAAGCCTCATGAAGCGCCAGTCCGAGCAGATCAGCGTTTTAATCCTGCAAAATCAGCGCCTAGAGGAACGACTGTTAGCTGTAGAGGCGAAATTGCACTCACCGTCGGCTCCAGCCAAAACTGTTGCGGGTTGTGTATCACAGCCTGACCAACAAATTGCCATCCGAACTGGGGTTCGTCCGAAGAAGAAGGGCTCGCAGTCTCTTGCAGCAGTCTGGTACGAATGGTTTACGGCCGAGCCCCGCGTTTATGCCTCGCGCTCTGTGAAGAAAACGACGCTGTACGAGCTTAGACACACCGCAGGCTACATGATGCTTTTCTTACCTCATGGATTTTCACTTGATGCTTCGTCTCCTGCGTTCAAGAGTGAGGTGGTCGCGCTTGGTGAGAAAGCGCAAGTGAGCACGCGGGACTTCTTGAAGACGAACGGGTCCTCAGCAGCAGCAGCGGGTACGACACTGCAAGCCCTTCGCAATCTACACAAGGCTGGAAAGCTTGACGCACATATAACCCAGTTCCACGAGCGTGCTGAGCGTGGTGACGTTGTCGATCCAACACCACCTTCGGCGCTGCCAAAATTCATTCGTAACAACCCCCCCCAAGCGCTGAACCTGTAGTACACATAGTACAGTTAAGTAACAGCACCAGATCTCACCTTACGCTTTGAACAGTATAATTCCTGGCAATAGATAACAGCTTCCGCACTAACGCATTATCTTATATTACAAACAAAGCTGCAACAGCAAGTTAGAAACGACATGCTCACTCATGTTATGCAGCAGCAAAGACTTACCATATATATAGATACTAGTGTAGGTCGTAGATAGTCTCGGCCGCCATCTCAGCAGCAATTCCGCTTCGCCCCTACACGGTTAATTTCACCTTCACATGTATTTCATTTTACGCGGGCGGGCAACGGCCGGAGTAGTGAAGGCGTGAGGTCTCTGGGTAGTGATGCCGCGCGCGTAGAGGTGCGACCGAGGCCTTGAGGTCGCAGAGGGCCGTAGAAATTGCGCTCCGCCCTCACCGCTGCGCGCTCGTGGCCGTGGTTTGTAGAATGGCTGTGGGCCCTCAGAGAGAAGGGATTTTTTAATTTTGTTTTTATTATGTGTAACACATGTACCGCGCAAAGTCCGATTTTTAACTGGCAGATCGTACCGGTATCAGGTTGGAACCCGGTCGGACAGTTGGAATTTTTACGGGTATGGACGGATTCCAAAACAACTTAGCCTATGTTCATAATCGACTTTTTTTCTCATAAATCTGGGTAAAATTTAGATTACCAGGCACGAAATGACTTCGAGCAGTCTCTAGTAAGCCGTGCAATTATTTAAACAGAATACTGAACCCCAGAATCATGCATACCTGATTAAAACATTATTCTAGTACTCTTGATGCGATCTCTTTATTATTGTTGGCTATCACTGCATTTTCTTCACTCACCCAAAACCGCCTGCACTTTAACCCCTCCAGACCGGATGCTGCATAATGCAGCTTAGATTTGTAGGCTTTAGCTGAATAGATTCAGTTTAAGCAATTTTGACTTAAAATTTGTACTGGTGTCCTTTCCCCCGACACGTCAGCATACAAAAACTAAGATAAAAATATGTTTCGTTTCTGTTCTCGCATTTTTACACCCTTTCAAATAAACACCAAATCTTTTCAAAAATCCAAAAATATGGTTTGTACAGGCTGGTTGAAACTGCAACTGATGTGTATCATTCCATAGAGGAAACTGTCACGTACCTACCAAATAAGTGGCTCTCAGAACCTCCGCCATTTCAAAACCTCCCTCATTTGAGAATTTGCGGCGCCAGAGATCAAGTGAATTCCAAAATGGTGAAGACGAGAAAAATGGTACCGCGGGACAGCGAAATCACTATACGTGACTTGTCATTCAAGTCGGTGTGGCATGAGCTCAAAGGAAACGGGTGGACACGCAAACCACTGTGGTGTAGTGATTTCTCCGTGGTTGCGGATTATCACCCGTCGACAAAGACGTGACACCGCCCAAGTTGTTCAAGCGACGAACCCTCGGTCGGGTGATGTACGGAGACGCCAAGGTGCAAGGGACTCGACGGCGTCACCTCCGAGTTTTCAACAAGTAT